CTTGCGCATGGATTGAATCACCGAGGGGGGAGCACCATGTACCCCTACACCGTAATTGAGCGCGGCAGGCACGGCAGCTTTGGCAAACTTACCAGTCAGAGCACCCGCTTTGCGAAGCCGACGAAGCCTGGGAAAACGTCCTGTCATTTTTCGTCTGACTTCAACTCCCAGAACTTCCAAAGCAGAAAGATATCGATACCCAGATCGTCCTAAGGTACGGCAGACACGCTTGGCGACGGAAGGGTAGGCGCAAGTCACGGTCATCTTGCGTTTAGCGGGGGCGAGGTCGACGGAGCCCAGAAGATCCACCACCCCCTTCAACATGTAGCACGCGTGCTTGTATATCGTGTCCATAGTAGCTTTCACCTGTATGGTCAGATCGTCGGCGTACACGCGCAGCGCGCGGTCGATGTGCACCGAGCTACCGTACAGAGAGCCCACTGGGGCACGAAGGACTAGCTGCAGGATAAACATCGCCATGCTACACCCTGGAAGTACCCCTCGAGATGCGAACACTGGTTCCGAGAAAGCCCCTGACCACGACAAGCGACGCTCGTACGAGTACATGCGCAGTGCGAGTGTAACCAGTGCCCCAGGGAAACCGTGCTTGATAGCTGCATGCAAAATCACAGCCCACAAAACTCGATCGAAACACTTCTCTATGTCAACGATGGCGTGCACACAAATCACGTCGTCCTTCTGTGCCTTTTTCTGCGGTGGGTGCGCTTCTCCATGAAGCAACGCTCGCGAGGCAACATATGTGGTTGCCCTTCCAGTTCCTAGTGCAAGAAAAGGACGATCCAGACGGTTCGCCCAGGAACGTACGTGATCAATTCTGGCCTTAGCCCATACTCCATATAACGAAACCAAGAGAGCGATTGGGCGATACCCTCCAGACGGCTTCTGAAGCAGGATAGCGTGAATATGCCGATGGTACCCAGGCCAGGAGGACCAGCATTCACACAGGTTAAATAAATATCCCAGGAAAGACAGCGCTCCATCTGAAACAAGGGCCCAATGCTTAGGCCTCCAGGTATCAGCACCTACAGCGGTCCTGGCAGGAAACGCCTCGGCAGCCTTGCGAAGTGCCGCGATGCCCATGGGAGGTGAACGAGGGCCCAAGTCTCTAAGCTGATCGAGGTCAGCCTGCAGTTGTTCAAAGGCAGCTGGCGAATACCCACCCTCCCAAACATCAGCCCAGAAGTCCTTCTGACAATTGGCGACGTCGTCTGCGTGACTCGAGGGACCTAAGTCCGCGTGGACTTGCGAGAGCTGCCACCCTCGAGGTTTCGTCCAGCAGTGAACGGGCTTGGGTCTGCTACTCAGGCAGTCCCGAAGCCATTTGACGAAGCCCTGACCTCGTGCCTGCCCAAGCCGCCGCTCATCAGCAGCAGCACGTTGAGAGAGAACAGCAGCGAGGGTGCGCAGGAAGACGACGTGGTACGCCGACGGCTGCGCGAAGAAACAAGTGATGTAGTAGACGGCCTCGTCGAGCTCGCTGGCGTCAAGAGCTGCCGTGAGGCGGCGTAGCCTGCCGTGGCCGCCGACGAAGTCCAGCAGCGGCTGCCACGTCGCAACGTGTCAATCCATAGGCACAGGCCCATGTTTGGCCACAAGGTGGGCTGGGTCCTCCACGCGGTGCTGCAACGTGCGCAGCGCGCGGGTCCGAGCCGTACCCGCGGGCTGATGATGAGACAGAGCTCCACCAGCGGTGGTCTTGCGGTAAGTGACCTCGAAGCCCCTGCCCTGGTGCTTGTGGTAGTCCGAGCAGTCGAACAGCGGCGCCAGCTCCTTCTCAACTCCAGAGTAAAGCTGTTGGCAGAGAAAATCGAGACGTCTGTCACGCGACCGAGGGTCACCAGGCCCGAGTGACGCATCATCCCGCATCTTACTGACCCAGTCGATGCCAGGATCACCGAGGGGCACCGCATCATCATCTTCATCTGAGTCATCAGTGTCATCAGCCAGACGAGGTTGTCGTGCAGGCTTACCTGGAAGAACAGGAGGCCCACGAAGCTGCATGAGCTGTCTGGCTCTGGGGCGAGGCCCAATCTCGACCCTCATCGGAAAATGTGGCCTCGGTGGATAGTCGGCAACTCGACGAGCATCCGACATCGAGGCAGCCATCCCGTCGCTGGCGAGCCAGTAATCGAGGAAAGTGTGCTCACCCGTGGTCGGTACCCGATGCGAGCCCTGCGAGCTGACCACCAAATGCCCGTCGACTCGCTCTATGAAGGCACTATCGCTGAATGTCTGAGGACTGATGTCCCAGTCGCCAGCAATGACATAGGAGGCCCTGTAGTATCGTAAAGCACGCCCCAGCTGCTGAAGCCGAGAAATGTCATCGCCTTTCAGGCCTAAGCCTTGTTCAAGATATGCACTGCCAGCTATAAACCCACCTCGAGGACCCATGTGAACATGCACTGCCACGCACCACGACTTAACGAGTACATGATCGTGCACGCCTGGAAGAGCGTTCAAGTAGGTTGTGTCAACATGGTGCTTGATAAAGAGACCAACTCCAACCATGGGCTGACCACCAGGGCCCACCTGGCAGTCACTGATGAAGGCCTTCCACCCGTGTCGAATGCACCATTCTTCAGCCTGCTTCCGCTGCTCAACTCGGACTCGAACCTCCTGCAACACGACGATGAGGGCGCCAGCAGCTCCCTCCTGCAAAAAGTCACGTGGCCTGGTCCAGCCGGTGGCGTTGTAGGTCACGAACACGAAGGGCTTACGCTTGCCACGGCGAGCCGCCCTCTGGGAATGTAGAAACTGCAGCCGTCCTGGAACGTGCGCCGATGATGACCTCTCGCCTCTCATGCCACAAGTACCATTTGAGCTGTCAACGTCCAGCAAATCGGGTTGGGCGCCCAGTCCGCTCGCTGATCTGCCGACTCCTGTGCCGACACTGCCCAGGGACTGGGTCGCCGCCCTGGCGACGAACGAACCTGGGCCAGGCCCGGGATTTTGAACTGGCGCTGCGGGTAGTTCAGACAACGGCAGGTCATCGAGAGAGACGACTTGATTGTTGAACAGCCGCGGCATGGGAAACCAATGTATATCACTATCAGGTCCCGCTGCCCATGGACTCGTCCTCGGCCTGCTGCTGGTTGAGGCGATTGGTCCACGGGTGCTCTTGTCCATTCGTACTAGGGGTACCTGGAGCCGCTTGATGAAGGAGCACCTCCTGGAGGAGGAGCTTGCTGCACATGCTGCGCTTGTTGGGCTTGCTGCATCTGCTGCGGCGGCTGAGCTGGCTGCTGCGAGGGGTCCTGCGACTGGACTGCACTCTGTAGCTGAGCCAACTGTTCTGTGAGCGTCTGCAGCATGGCCTGCGGGCTACCTGCAAACAGCGCCGCAGGAGCTCCTGCCACCACCGTCTGAAGCCTCGCCACCGCGTCCTGCAGCGAAGGTGTCGATGTAGATCCCTGCGCTGTTGATGCCAGCACTGCAGTCCGAGCCAAGTTGACCTCAGCCTGGATGCTCTGCAGCTCGGTGGTGGCCTGGGCCAGGGAGGCCTTCTTTGCCTGCAGCTTCTCGTCAAGCTCAGAGACGGCCACTTTGAGCTCATCCACTTCTTTGGATTTCGCTGTGTGCCTATCGAGGGACCGTCGTAGCATGTCGTCGGGGGTCCGAGTCTGCTGCTCTTTCTCCTCCGCCAACTGAAGATCTCGCTTGACCTGCTGAACAACTGCTGCATTGTCGGGCAAACCGAGCTTTCGCAGCGCCTGCAAAGCGCGGCGAGCCTGAGCGACTTCGTCGGCAGGACTAGCTGGTCCGCCGCTGTCGCCATCCTTCTTGACTTTGCCACCTCCAGGGTCAGCTCGAGGCCGCGAGGCAGCACGTCGTGATGAAGGTCGCTGTCTTGGCACGAAATTCGGATCTGGAGCGCCACGGCGATCGCGACCGCACTGGTAGCACTTATCATTACTCGCATAATTGCCCTGGAAACCACACTGCCTGGTCGCAAGGCAGGCCCACTTCGGCTCCCACTTCGCTTGCCCGACATAGGTCCCCCGCCGCCTGGGGATCCATGCGTGAAAGGCTCCAGCGATCCGTGGTGATCGTTCAACAATGCCCGCAGCTTCTCAACCTTCAAGAGACGCCTGGCAGTAGCACGAACACGGCGTCGTCGTCTATGCCAGGCAGGAGATCGAGACCTGCCTACTGGTATGCTGTAACAGTATGTCGACTCGCGCCTGGGCAAGCGCGAGCCTGAGGCGGGCTGTGCAGGTCAGATTGTGAGGCAATCCAAAACGCGACGCCAGGAAAAGCCTCCGGCGCCTCAAGCCCACGCCTGGAGGAGGAGCGGGAGGAGGAGGGGGAGGAGAGAGGAGGACGAGAGTAAAAACAAACAACCACCCCCGTAATAATCACCCCGACAAGCGAAATCGCTTGGCAAAAGCGCGCGAAGAAGGAAGCAAACAGGAGCAGGGCAGGGCTATGTAGAAAACGCCCAAGGCCGTTTAGTAAACGCCAATTGTCCGGTGAAGGTGTTTTTTCCTCCCTTGAGAGAGGCTACTGCTCACGACTGTGGGACACTTGATCCATATGTATGTATGTATATATATATATAGAGATATATATATATATATATATATATATATATATATACAGGTTCCAATCTCGATTGGAACAAATCGCTTGCCTGCACACGAGAGAGGCACCCGTCGTGGGTAAAACTGGGCCTGGAATCTGCACCTGTCCGCAGTCCACACCCGATTAGGTGTTGCTACTTGCCAGGTGAGCACGGCTGCACTGCCCGAAGCTCGATGGCCTCTGGCGCAGAGGGGTGGAGGCGGATGGGTGTTCTGAGAAGCCTTCGAACAGGCCCCTTTTGGCCCTTTTGGTGCGGCCCCCGCCTTCCAGGGAGCCCCGTGGCCTTCTGACCAGGCCGCCCCCCTCTCGCGCCAACCCCGTCAAGGTTCGTTCGTCGTCGTCGTCGTCGTCGTCGTCGTCGTCGTCGTCGTCGTCGCTCTCTGTACGCGCCGCCAATCCTCCGCGAGGTTGATCTGCCCGGCGAGCTGCTGGCAGATGTCCTCCGCGGCCGCCCCGGCCCCACGGTGGCGGTCGATGGTGTCCTTGAATTCTCGGCGGACCTCGAGGATTTTTCAGCGCCGGGATGCTCTCCGGTAGCTGCGCCTCGCCGAGAGCAATCCGGGGGTGCCAGGAGCGCCTCGGAAAAAAAAAAAGATCTCCGACGATGTGCTTCCTTGCACCGGCCTTGCAGGCGTGCTGCAGCGGATTTCTGCGTGGATGTTTGCCCGAAGCGGCGAGCGAAGAACGAAATTAATTTCGCGTGGGTTCTTTTTGGTCTCCCTTCCTGGCCAACATAAAATCCGCACGAAATCCACCTCGAAATCCGGCACGAAACTCTCCAGGACGCGCCGGGCCCATCCTGTCGTTTTCCGAACGAAGTCCGCTCTGCGATGTTGGCGCCACGATGTGTTCGACTTCGATCCCCGCGTTGCTTCTTGAAGCTCGGCCTCTGGGGGTCCCTTCTCGGGCCCTCGGGCCCCACGGCCATCAAGAGCGAACCCCCTCGGCGGCGCGCACGAGGGGGTGGAGGGAGGGGGGAGGGTTTCTTACGAGGAGGCTGCTTCTCAGAAGGCGCTGGCCTTACATGTACAGATAAGGCAAGCGCCTTCTAAGAAGCAAGGATGCTTCTAAGAAGCCCTCCCCCCTCCGCCCGCCCCCCTCTGCGCGTAGCTGACCCCCCCGCCACAGGTCAAAAACATTCCGTCTCCATTCTTTTCCCGTGCAAGTAACTTTAGGTCGGGCCTGTCCCCCGACAGGCAGATTTTGCAGAAACAGAACTTCTCAAAACATACCCCAAAATTGTCAAAATATTCAGAACATCGTCCCCAGACTATTGTTTATCTATTTTTGAATATTCCCCCCGTAGAGGGGCACGCCCGACTTGAAAATAACTCCTCCCCGTCGCACCACGAGGCTGGTCGGAGGGGCGGGCTCGGCGTTTCGCCTGAGACTTCCCTACCACGCATGATCCTGAAGTGTAAACTTAAGTCGGGCCTGTCCTCCTGCAGGGGGATTCTGGACGAAAAATCGAACATAGTCAGAACATGCCGCAACATGGCCAAACCATATTCAAAACATCGTGCCCGGACTATTTCTTTCTGCTTTGGAACCTTCCTCCTGTAGAGGGGCAGGCCCGACTTGCGTGCAACCATTCTGCAAATTGGCCAAAACATATTCAAAAATTGTCCCTGGACTATTTCTCTGACTGTTTTGGAACCTTCCTCCTGTGGAGGGGCAGGCCCGACTTGCGTGTAACCATTCTGCAAATTGGCCAAAACATATTCAAAAATTGTCCCTGGACTATTTCTCTGACTGTTTTGGAACCTTCCTCCTGTGGAGGGGCAGGCCCGACTTGCGTGTAACCATTCTGCAAATTGGCCAAAACATATTCAAAAATTGTCCCTGGACTATTTCTCTGACTGTTTTGGAACCTTCCTCCTGTGGAGGGGCAGGCCCGACCTGCGTGTCACCACTGGCAGCGGCCTCGCATGCGGAGGGCGGGCCGCCTCCGGGATGTGGCTCTCGCCCTAGCGCCGCGCACACTCTTTCTGGGTAGTCTGGCGCCAATCTGGCAGGCCCAATCTGACAAACGGAGGCAATCTGGCGAGGGAGCCAACGCGAATCCAGTCTGGCGAATAACCCAAATCCGCCAATATGGCCAGGCCAGATTGGCCCTTGGAGCCCAATCCAGTCTGACAGTCTGGCCTTCGACTACCCAGTCTTTGAAAACGTGCATGAGGTTTC